TGAAGTGGGTAAAATATAGTTGTGCATTAAATGGATGTTGATTGCTGGTGTTGACTTTTTGATGTGTAGTGCCTTGCAGATGTCGAGTCGCCTGCTATCGCTGTACCTTTCGATGATTTTTGTGCTGTTTGTTAAGACTTTTCTGGTGATGGTCTGGGTGTAAGAGGAGATTAGGTGTTCCTTTATGGAGCCCCTGTTGCTTATGCAATGTTAATCGCCTGGAACGAGACATTAAGTCTTGCCTATATACTGAGTTCTTTGGGGCTTACAGTCCCCAAGTGGACATTTGAAGGCATAGACGACGTTGGTCTCTTTCAAGGTCTCTTTATACAGTCTCCGTGGTGTAGTGGTAAGACACTCGCCTGGCGTTCCGCGAGCGCTATGTCATGGGTTCGTATCCTGGCCGGGGAGGATTTACTGGGCGCAATTCCTTAACTGTAGCCTCTGTTTAACGCAACAGTAAAATGTGTACTTGGATGAAAAAACGATTCTTCGCGGCGGGGATCGTATTCCAGGGACCTGCCCGAAACGCTACGCGTACTAGTGGCTGTACAAGAATGTAACAACTCTTGTATATATCTCAAAAAAAAAAAAAAAAAAAAAAAAAAAGGCATTCTGCTTTGTGTCTGCAGAGTTTTTCATGAGTAGGTTGGCCGTCTTTTTCGTTTTATAATAAATCGTCAATAGTATTTTCTGTTTTTTCTCTGTAGGGATAACTTTTTTAACGTTCACGTTCGAAACTGTGAACGCCAAGAAATCCGGACTCCACCTGCCAAAGGTTATTGGGGAATACAAACCTGGGTATGCGTGTTCCTCCTACATGCAACAGATGGCGCTGTTTTTCATGAAAAGTATAGTTTTACCTTTACAGGTGTGGCAGCTATACTTATTCTTACGAAATGAACTTTATGGTAAACAACACATCTCAATTCCAACACAATGTCACACAAAATAATTCAATAAAAAATATAATAAATCGAAATTTATGTAAATAAAATTTATTATTGCAATCGGAAACATTGAAATGGAATTCGTGACATAGTTACAATAGCGTGCATGTTGCTATTATATGCAACAGATGGCGCTGCTTTTCAAACAAGCATGTTTTTACTTGTCAGGGAAGAGGCATCTACATAGTATGTATATAAAAAAAACGCGCTTATTCGAATGCAACATTGTGTCAAAATTTCAAAGCAATCAGTGAAGAACTTTCGGAGATTACAGCGTGTGTTGCTCTTACGTCCAACAGATGGCGCTGTTTTAAAAACAAATATGGTTTTTCCTGTCACAGGTGAGGCATGTATATAGTAGATATATAAAAAGACGCGCGTATTCAAATGTAACGTTGTGTCAAAATTTAAACGCAATCGGTAAAGAGGTTTCGAAGATTTCCCTGACATGAACAACACATGAAATACACAGTTTTTCAGAAAAAGCATGTTTTTTTTTTTACCGTCACAGACGTGACATCTATATAGTATATATATAAAAATCTGCTCGGATGCGAATGGAACGTTGTTTGATAATTTCAAACCAATCGGTGAAGAACTTTCGGAGATTAGCGATTTTGAACAAACGAACACATTTGCATCTTTCCAATCTTGGGGGACTACTCCAAGATCCAGAGATTTTGTGAAAGTAGGGTCAGCTGTAGGCATAATTCTTCAGCATCTTCCTTTAAGACTTTGGATTGGATTCCATCCAAACCTAAGGTATTTAAGTGTTTTTGTTTGTCAATGTTCTTCCTAATTACTTCGCATGTTATAGGTATATGAATAAAATTAATTCTCTTCCCCTTATTCACACATATGTATGGATGATGGGATGTCAAATAACCTTTCTATTGTAAATACTGATATTAATATTCATTTAAAGTGTTTGCCGCTTTTGTATCGTCAATTATTACTTGTTTAGCCTCATATATTAAAATCCTAATGAGTCCTTTGTTTTGGGTTTACCTCTTACATAGGCATCGAACGATTTGTTATCTTTCTTTATGTTTTGTTTACCAATGCTCTATCTTTTGGTAAATATGCTTGGTTTACTAACTGTGTCATCCATCTAGTTCCCTTTCCTTTCATTTTTTTTTTCGGCACATATTTGGCAACGAGTTCTGTTAGGACCCTCTTTAAAATTTTGCTATGATGCCTCCATGCCATGATCGCCTATCAGCTTCCTCCAGGAGATGGTTTGCAGTTAATCTCTGGAACCGCAGACCATCTCTCTTGGGGACCAGGTCCTCTCTGGGGGACCTTCGACAAGCCTCCGGCTTCCTGTACTCGTCGAGGTCATTATAGTTAGTGAGCCTCAGGTAAATCAGGTAAATCAAATGAGACTGAAGTCGACCTAACTACAGTTGTATGAGATATGTGTACATCTTATTGCTAATGTTAATCACCTGCTTACTGTAACCACTGTAATGTTTCTGAAAGCTGTAAAAAACTAAACAAAACATGAGTTATGTTTACCCATTTAACATATACTCTGCCATCCATAAAAATGGAACGCCGAAAGTGTATGTTTGCTTATCTATTATTTACTAGCTGTACCCGGCCACGAGTTGCTAAAGCTCAGCAATGCTCTTGCGTTGCTGAGCCACAGCAACTCATGGCCGGGTACAGCAACCTTCACCTGTCTCCCAGTCCACCCATTCATTCCGCCCCCCCTCCCCCCGTCTTATCGTCCTCCCAACCATTCCTCCCTCCCCTTCCCCATTCGTTTGTCCTCCCCACCGTCCCCCACTCCACCATCTCCTCGTCCTCCTAAACATTCCCCACTCCACCGTCTTCTCGTCCTCCCCACCATGTCCCACTCCTGCGTCTTCTCGTTCTCCCTGTTCCCTAGTCCCCACCATCCCCAACTCCTCCATCCCCCTCGTCCTCCCCACCATTACCACCTCCCCTGTCCCCTCGTCCCCCGCACAATCCCCCACTCCCATCCCTTCGTCCTACTCTCAATTCCTGCTCCCTCGTTCAATGCATTCCCAAATGATCTGATGTTCCCATCAGAAAATTGGGAACATTAAATGATCTGATGTTCCCGTCACTGAAATATAAGAAAAGCAGTTTAAAAAACTTAATGAAAAAAATGAAAAAATAAAAAAATATATACTAACGAAATGAACGGTATGGTAAACAACACAGCGCAATTCCAACACCATGTCACACAAAATAATTAAATCAAAATGAAAATAAATAGAAATCTACGAAAATTCAATATATCAATGAAATTGGAAACATTGAAATGGAATCGTAACATATTTAGTATAGCGTGTGTTGCTCTTACGTGCAAATAGATGGTGCTGTTTTTCAAATAAGCATGTTTTTACCTGCCACAGGTGAGGCATCAATACGTGTACTCATGAAATGAACGGTATGGTAAACAACACAGCTCATTTCCAGCACAATGTCTCATAAAATAATTAAATCAAAATGAAAATAAATTGAAATCCATGAAAAATCAATTTATCAATATAATTACAAACATTTAAATGGAATCATAACATGTTTAGTATAGCATGTGTTGCTATTATGTGCAACAGATAGCTTTGTTTTTCAAAAGAAGCGTGATTTTACCTGTCACAGGTGTGGCATCTATATAGTCGGTATATAAAAACATGAGCATATTTGAATGGAAAGTGTGTCAAAATTTAAAAGCAATCAATGAAGAAATTTCAGAGATTAGAGTGTGTGATACTATTACATCACACAGATATCGCTGTTTAAAAGAAAAAACATGTTTTTCCTGTCACAGCTGAGGCCTGTATATAGTAGGTATATAAAAACACGTGCCTATTCGAATGCACCATTGTGTCAAAATTTTAAAGCAATCGGTAAAGAAGTTTCAAAGATTTCCCTCACATGAAAAAACATGAAAAACATGAAAAACAGTTTTTCAAAAAAGTAAGTTTTTTCATATCATAAAATGGGAACATCAAATGATCTGATGTTCCCATCACTGAAAATTAAGAAGAACAGTTAAAAACAACGAAATGAAAAACATTGCAAATTACAAAAAAATAACTATACTTACAAAAATGAATGTTATGGTATACAACACAGCTCAATTCCAACACAATGTCACACAAAATAATTAAATCAAAATGAAGATAAGTTGAAATCTATGAAAATTCAATTTATCAATGCAATCGGAAACACTGAAATGAAATAGTAACATATTTAGTGTAGCGTGTGTTGCATTTATGTGCAACAGATGGCGCTGGTATTCAAAAAAGCATGCTTTTACCTGTCACAGGTGTGACATCCTTACAATACGTAAATAAAAACAGGCGCGTATTTGAATTGAACGTTGTGTCAAAATTTAAAATCAATCGGTGAAGAACTTTAAGAGATTACAGCGTGTGTTGCACTTACGTCCAACAGATGACACTGTTTAAAAAAAAAGCCTGTTTTTTTCCTGTCACAGATGAGGCATGTATATAGTAGGTATATGAAAACACGCGCCTATTCAAATGCAACGTTTGTGTCAAAATTTCAAAGTAATCGAATCGGTAAAGAGGTTATAAAAAACACATGAAAAACACAGTTTTACAAAAAAAAATCCCATCAGTGACATGAGATCTATATAGATAGTATGTATATATAAATTCGCTCGGATGCGAATGGAACGTTGTGTGAAAATTTCAAAGCAATTGGTGAAGAACTTTCGGAGATTAGCGATTTTTAACAAACGAACATTTACATTTTTATTTATATTGATTGAAAGAGGCAATTATATGGGAAAATGACTAAATGAAATTTAGATTTTTTGTAATGCAAATATACTGATAGTATTTAGTTTAACATTCCTCATCACCTGCACTAAAACGTTGTGTCAATTACAGCTTTCCCAATGTGTGACAATTACCTTCACTACAAGACTTGGATTAACATTTACAGCTGACGCACTACACTTCTGAACACGTTGACTACCACAACAGCAATGTAAAAATAATCATATGGCCAAAAGGTTTAACATGTAGATGCTGCGTGTTCTCTCACCTGACTCCTGCTCTAAAGTCTGTATTGTTCTCGATGTTGTAGATCATGTGAGTCCTGGGCGAGGGGGCGGAGCCTGTGATGGCCGCCCATTGGTCCACTCCATCAGTGTCTGGCGGGGCAGTAGCTCCTGCCAAGCCCACCAGCGTCTTGAACCAGTCCGTCACGTGCATCAACCTTCAATATTGAAAACAACAAAAATATATTTATGGGAGTGATGAATGATAATAGATGTTATTTATCTGTTAAAGATCACCATCATTATATAAAGCAATGAGGCTCTCTAAATAACATCGAGTCACACCAGGACTAGCATAAAAAAATCTACACCAAATCTTCTTATTGAAAAGCATGTTTTGAACATTGATGATAAGGGATTTTGATTAAGTAAATGATATCAGGTCTGGAAATTTACTTTAATATTTTACTAGAAATAAATGTTTCAAATTACAAAAGACAAATCTATCGTTTTTTTTTATTTTTTAAAGCTTTCTGTTAGTCCATGAATTTGGATAGGCTTATTGAAAAATGTATACTATGTTTTTTTTGTAGGTTGTGATTAGATTTTGATACATACAATTGGGGAAAATATGCCTTCTACAATTATCAAAATAAAATTCACAACAATTTGGAAAATACCTAATTGAGATACGGCAGTCAAGCATAACATTGACACCTAAGATGAGTCATTCCCAAGCATAACCAACATTTATGTTGATTTTGCTATGCTTACGTTGGACTGTCCAAGACTATATGTGTCAGTAGAATGTAAATGGTAAGGTATAAGGATCATATTACGGAACATTGTTTTGTACAGTCCTCCCAGAAACAGTATGGGACATGGAGGCGACGACGTCCTCTCAAGACACCTGACAAGACAACTAATATGTGACCTGGAAAACCTCACGTCACTGGATCCAGCCCATGATTGACCGAATAGTCTCACTATCTGACCGCGTAAGCACCCAACGTAACGTCCCTATGATTCCTTTGTTACAACTTATAATAAAGTTCTTGTCTGTTGCTATAACGTTTTTATGATGTAATACAACGTTGGTACAACTTGCTATCTTGGTTGTTACATGTTAGAAAGTGTTAAAACTTGTTCGAACGTTGTAGCAACATCGTCGTTTCATCGTGTGCTTGGCGGGACATCGTAGGGAAGGTGTGCAACTGCTGGCTCCGCCTCTGAAAGTAACTGGTCAATTTTGTGGACATTGTGAAGGAACGCACTATTTAGTTATGTTGAGTAGTAACCGTATTTTTTAACTTATGGAGCCAATATGCCAATATACTGATAGTATTTAGTGTAACATTCCTCATCATCTGCACTAGGACGTTGTATCATTTACAACTTTCCCAATGTGCGACCATTACAGCCTAATGTGCTGTTAGAGCCCGAAAGTCGAGGGGATAGATTCACAGCGAAAGCGGCACTGTGTTGAAAGAGGTCGAGAAGAGGAACACTAACCACAGACTTGCATCAGTGGGCACGACTGTTTACGTTAGCAGTGTTGTCACGTTGTCAAAGGAGGCAATAAAAGTATGTGTTGGCGGGAGAAAAAAAAGGGCAAAATGAACAGGATAGGACAAGTGCCTCAAAATAACAATACAATTAAGGTATATTACACCAATAGTAGGAGTCTAGAAAACCAAATAAACGATTTAAATGCTCTTGCCTGCACAGAAACAATAGATATTATTGCACTTATTGAAACATGGATGAATGTAGAAAACAGAGAACTATTAGCTGAATATCAAATAAACTGATTTACATTATTTCACACAGATAGAGATATTAGACGAGAAGGAGGAGTAGCCATATTTGTTAGGGAGAATTTGAAATGTAGTCTCGAAGAGAGAATTAAAACTGAGCCACACACACACAGAAACTGTTTGGCTAGAATTAAACGAAAAATTGCTAAAAATCATATAATCAGAGGTAAATCATATAATCAGGCCACCAAACTTAGACAGAATGAAAGCAAAGCATCTCATTCGCAAAGCAGCAAACTCATTCCAGGGAAAATAAGGATTGAGTGCTAGCTACGCTCCTCACTCTAAGCTGTATTTCAGCCCTGAAACTACCCCCAGATGATGTAGACCCCCACCCACATGCAGCTAAGTACATGGAGTCCAAGCATGTCATAGCACATTCAAAGTAACCAACCCAAATTAACTCATTCCATCTCAAATAAAATTCAAAACAATCCTCTCCGGCAGTGAGTACCAGTGCCTGCTGCCCGCCTCTGCCCGCCACCGCGCTGCCTGACGCAAGTTTCAGCCACAACATATATCCCAGTCCATTCTCAACCAATCATGTCTCCCAAAAACAAGACTGCGGAGGGAAATAAGAGCAACAAAGCCCCTAATAAGGCATCCATCCCGACCAACACTGACAGCCTTCGTGTTTCTCCGTCTGGAAGCTCTGGGGCCCGCGGAGGCGGTGCTGCTCTCCTCCAACCCGTTCTCGCACTTTCGTATAGTCAATATTGACTTATTAAATACGTGCATATGTGACGTACTAATTTATTGTGACTATTTTAGTTTACCTTGAAAAGCTTCATAGAAAACACCGACCTAACCTAACCTTCTTAGTATGTTAAGATAAGCTTCTTATTACTTCGTAATTACAATTATTACTTAACCTATTATAGGTATACTATAGGTACTAATTTATTGTGACTATTTTAATTTACCTTGAAAAGCTTCATAGAAAACACCGACCTTACCTAACCTTCTTAGTATGTTAAGATAAGCATCTTATTGCTTCGTAATTACAATTATTACTTAACCTATTATAGGTATAGGTTAAGTAATAATTGTAATTACGAAGCAATAAGATGCTTATCTTAACATACTAAGAAGGTTAGTTAAGGTCGGTGTTTTCTATGAAGCTTTTCAAAGTAAACTAAAATATTCACAATAAATTAGTATGTCACATATGCACTTATTTAATAAGTCAATATTGACTGTAAGAAAGTGCGAGAATGGGTTGTCTCCTCTCTACCCCATCACTGAGCCAGGGAACTGTGTCCTCTCAATCCTCTCCTAATTTCATGCTTACATCCCACTTTACGAAATTCAAGTGTGCTTCTGGTCCCTCAGTAGATTTTCCTAACTGGGCCGAGAATCAGTGGTTCAAAAAGTTGTGCCTAGTCCTTGAGACTCAAAATACGATCATCCTGAGTCTTCAAACTGAGAATCAAGCGAACTGTGCGAACCTTCATCAACAACAACAAGAAATAACCCTTCTCCGCGTGGATATTAGAAACTATAAGGCTAGCCAAGATCAACTCCAGCATGACTTGAATGATCTCCGTGAGGAAAACATACCTCTGAAAACTGATGAAGCCATAAAAAAAACAAGAGGAAGCTCTCAACAAAATGACTGCATGTATCAGTACATTATCCGTCCAACATTCCATCTCCCAGGATGAACAAGACCAGCAAAAGTTGCTTGACTCTGTTGTTGTGTCGTCCCAAGATATTCCTGTGGAACATGAAGGTGAAAAGTGTATTGAAATAGTTCATGCTCTCATAAAAGACGAATTGCGTGTCACTCTAAATAAAACGGACATTATTGCTGCCTACAGAGTAGGCAAAAAGAATCCATCAGGACAAAACCAGCGAGAAATTCGCCTCAAGCTAGCTTCCCAGTCCATAAAATCACATCTTGTCCGGACAGCTGCATCCCAACGAAAGGGAATCTACATTAACGAGTGCTTGACTAGATAAAGACATCAACTCCTCCACCGCCTGCGTCAAATCCGTTATCAAAACCCAGCTGCGATTCATCAGTGCTTCGTTAGAGATGGCTTGATTAAAGTGAGAAAGACCTCAGTAGGTAAAATGTTTACAATTGCTAATGAGGATAACCTCAACACTTTCCTCGCCCAATGTGGTTTGTCCCACCTTATTATCCCTCTCAATGAGTCAACATAATTAACCCCTTGTCACCTAGTGCGGGCTAGGTAACCAAAGTCTCTTTGTTACACTTTTTTAAATTAAATTTTAATTTAATTTTTAATTAGTCATTTATTGGAATTAATTGAGTGCATTAATATTTTCTTTAGTTGTTATTAATTATAGGATCATAACTAAACTATTTATAGTTAATAATCATTAGCTTAAATTTGCCTATGTTTATTATTCAACTTGTTTTCTTTGCTTTCATTTATTACCTAGGTTGCCTAGCCTCGTCATACTCCATTACTCTATTGTACCCTTTGCTTTGCCTGTGTCTCAAAATGCAAATTATTACTTGCAGTGTACCTGAGAGTACTTGTAAGCAATCTACCTCATTTTTCTTTTTCTTTTTTGTTCATTTTGTGTTTGTCTTGTATAGTCTTGTTTATATTTTTATTTTTCCACCCCTTTTATATCAAAATTTTATTTTGTAATTACCATTCTTGCCTTGTTTTCCTACAACCAGCCTTCTTATGCAAACTAGTATAGACCCAGAACTAAACCTCTTATCCACTATCTATGACAATCATCACTTTAATGATCAAAATTGCAGATATTTTACAGTACATGATGTAAACAATGTATTAACACATAATCACAATATCTCTGTAATTAACTTGAATGTAAGATCTCTAAGCAAACACTTCGATGATGTTAGTGCCATGATTGAAACTATTGATAACAAATTCTCTTTTATCATAGTTACTGAACCGTGGTTAAAAGAGGATACTACTCAACTCTTTAACATACCAAAGTACTCAGCAATTCACAACTGTCGTCCAATTCAGAGAGGTGGTGGTACTGCTCTTTACTACCACCAAGAACTAATATGCTTAAAAGTAATTAGAACTAGAGACTACTGTGGGGAGTATATCTTCGCCAGTTTCAGAGTCAGAAGTGCTGAGCCTATCCTGACTGTGAAAGCAGTCTATAGAATTCCTAACACTGATGTGTCCGAATTCAACTCTAACCTTAGAAATCTAATACTAGATAACAGACTAAACAAAAACCCATCCAATTATCGCAGGGGATTTTAATATTGATCTCTGCGAGCCTGAAAACCCTACTGCTGCCAACTTCCTCAACTGTATGAATTCCTGCTTCCTCATACTCTTAATCACTAGACCTGCTAGAATCTCTGATAGTACTGCCCCGACTCTTGATCACATCTGGACGAACATAACCTCTCTCTGCTTACTTCAGGGATA